GACCTCCCACCCAGGCACACAGACAGACAGAAACAACAGAGATGGAGGACCTCCCACCCAGGCACACAGACAGACAGAAACAACAGAGATGGAGGACCTCCCACCCAGGCACACAGACAGACAGAAACAACAGAGATGGAGTACTTCCCACCCAGGCACACAGACAGACAAAAACAACAGAGGGACTGTAAAGAAGCAGGAAACTCAAGTTTTAGTAAGACTTTTACGGCACTGACAACACATTTTAGTTTAGTTTTAGTAGAGGTTTTACAGCGCTCGCAACTGCATCAGGTCATATGAGCGCCAGAAGATTAGAGGTGATACAAGAGAGTAACAAACATAAAAAAGAAGTAGGGGAGATAAGGACGATAGATGTTTGATAGGAAAGAAGAACCAAACCACACCAGAGCACCCGCCAACCATCCACACTTACAACACAATAAGGTCACATAAGTGCAAAAGACTAGTGGTGTGCAAGAGAGTAACAAACACAAAAAGGGAGGAGAGATAAGGACGATAGACGTCAGATAGGAAAAATAGAGCAAACCACACCAGAGCACCCGCAAACCACCCATGAAGCAGGAAAACCTCCCAGCAACACCCTCCAACCACCCAGACAGACACACAGACAGAACAGACAGAAACAACACAGTTTTAGTTTTAGTAAGAGTTTTACAGCACTTGCAACACAATAAGGTCATATAAGTGCCGAAGATTAGAGGTGTTAAAAGAGAGTAACAAACACAACAAAAAAAGAAGAAGAGATCAGAACGATAGATGTTTGATAGGAAACTAACCCTAACTCTGGCAAGGGCCGATTAGATCGGCCCATTTCCTGCCATGAAACTGGCAGGGCCGATCTCATAGGACCATATAGTAAACTGCTGCTTCTGCCTTCCAACTAAATATTTGGGGCTTCCTAAAGTGATTTCTGATTGGCTAAAAGGCTAACCTCCAACCAATCAGAATATTTCTACCATTCTGGCTTAGGAGAAGAGTATTTTGCTTTCAAAACAGAAGGATGTTTTGAAAGCTTGTTGGTCAGGTCACAAGCCACTAATGCCAGTGTAGATCTATCACTTGTGTGGGTCTAAAATGGCCAAAAATCGATCTTTTTTGGATACATTTGAAAGTGAATTGACTAGGGAAAGTAATTCAGACACTGTTAGTGGTGGATTTATTGGTGTTCAGTCAAGATTGGGATTAGATCTGACAGACAATGGGGATACCAGTTCTCATCCAGCCCCAACTTCTCTTTCAAATGGAACACAAGATTCTACTACTTTGGGAGTTTAATAGGGGCAGAAAAAGGAGAGCTATTGAGTAAAGTAGGTTCCTTTTGCTATACTAATTATTACAGACTACCAGCAGATTGCTGAAAACAACATGGTTGTACTTAGAGTGTTTTTATGTTGAGTTTGGTATAAAATTAGCGAGTATCAGCTGCGCTCGAAACAGACCACATGACAAATTGAAACAGTCATAACTCATTACCTGTTCTTCTCAAACCTATAAAACTAGAGATTTTCTGAAAGGTAATTGAAAAACCCATATTTCTGCTATCTCACATTTTTTATAACAAGAAATACATTAAATTGGTGAATATGCTAATGAGCATGTAAATTTTTTGTGTCAGCCATTTTGGATTTCAAAGTTACATAACCCTTGAAAATAAAATAAAATCATATGTTCAATGGCAAAATATAAAAGTTCATTCAATTCTTTCAGAAAATATTTACTTTTGTAGGGTTTTTATTTGATGCAAGTCCATAAATTTGATTTGTAAAGCATGTGCACGTTTTGGCTGACTGGCCCTGCCATTCCTGTTGAAACCACTTGCCAGAGTTAGGGCTAAGGAGCAAACCACACCAGAGCACCCGCAAACCACCCACGAAGCAGGAAACCTCCCTGCCACACCCTCCAACCACCTTGACAGACAGACAGATTGACAGACACAGACAGACAGACAGACAGATTGACAGACAGACAGACAGAAACAACACAACAACGTGAAAGTCTTGAAGAAGACGAGGTAAATCCCTCCCAGCGCCACCCGCCAACCACCCACAGAAACAACACAACAACGCGGAAGAGTAGAAGAAGTAAGGCCCTCCCAGTGCCACCCGCCAACCACCCTCACCGTCCAGGATGTCCTGCAGCAGACAGGTGATGGCGTGTCCGGCCCAGGGCCCGCCCCAGCGCAGGTGGTCGTGGTTGAACTCCGTGTCTACCACCAGCAGCACCAGACGCTCTAGCTGCTCCTGGCTCATGGCTTCCCACAGGCTGATGGACGGCCGGCACGCCACGCACATCTTGGACAGCACCTGGGAAGGGGGGGGGGGGGGGCAAAGATCAAACACTCAAAGGTCAAACCTTTGTTAGTTGAAAGGACAGTTTATTAGAGCTGGGCGAAGAGTCGATTCCGGAACTGATTCCCACAATTAATACTACGAAAGTAAAGTTGCGTCTCCTTTTTGCGAAAACCAATGGTTACCAGTTACTTTTATTATTAAAATCTTTTTTTTTTTAAGAATTTATTTTTTGAAAAATAGAAGCTGATGCTTCGTAGTATTCCAAAATCAAGGTTTTCCTAAATCCTGAAGATGTCCAGAGCCAACCAGGTAACCACCGGAAGAAATCACGTCATTAGAAAGTAAGTAATTGGGTTCGGAGTCGATTCCTACGATTCCTAGCTTTCAATAATCGGGAACCTTACCGCCCAGCACTACAGTTTATAAGGCAACAAGAGACAATTCATATAGAAACATGCAGTTCAAGTGAAGGTTTATAAAGTCACGAGCGATGGTTTATACAGTTCTATAGTTCAAGAGACGGTTTATAAACTTACAAGAGACAGTTTATACAGTCAAAAAGTTCAAGAGACGGTTTATAAACTTACAAGAGACAGTTTATACAGTCAAAAAGTTCAAGAGACGGTTTATAAACTTACAAGAGACAGTTTATACAGTCAAAAAGTTCAAGAGACGGTTTATAAACTTACAAGAGACAGTTTATACAGTCCAAAAGTTCAAGAGACGGTTTATAATATGGCCAACAACAAAAAAGTACAAGAGACAGTTTAAATAATCACAAAGTTCAAGAGACAGTTTAAATAATCACAAAGTACAAGAGACAGTTTATATAATGACAATAGACGGTTTTTATCAGAGGTCAGTTTGTATTGGAGGTCGACAACCTTTTCAGCCTACTAAGCCATATCAGAGCACAGAGACAGCCCGCTAGGTGGGGAAAAAATGAATTGTCAAAGACAGGACTTTGAATCATTAGAAAAGAGCAGTGCCTGTAATGGCAATGACAATTGTTCACTTTATAGGTACACGTAATTAACCTCCATTTCTTTTTATTCAATCTGCCTGCCTTGGTCATTAACAGTTATAGAGCGAGTATGTGTGATGACAACTTGAAAATCAAACGATTGAACGATGTGGGATGATGCTGGTACGAGTGCTGGCCTCTCATCACTGATGCATTCATTAGTCTCTATTCAAAAGCACATCGCGAGAGTCTTTTTGAAAAGACATTGCAAACAATAGTCGCTGGAAAGTTCATCAGACCGAATGTTGCAATAACTAAGTAGAGAGGCATTTGCTGGGACATTCTATTAAATAAGTACAAGGGCACGAGGTCGGATGGGCACACTCACTAGGCCTCAGCTGGCCAAAAGGTCAGAGGTTGCCAACTCCAGGCTTACATATAGCCACAAGTGATAGTTCATACAGTCACCAAGTTCAAATGACTAAGCCAAACCAAACCAGAGAAACCAGAACCATGGAGCACTCAAACTGAGCAGAACCTGAGCCCAGACAGCCTCACCTTTAACCCTTTTCAAACCGTACCGGCCTACACCAGCCTTCCCGCTGTGGAGCCATACCGGCTTTTATCAGCCAGATACACCCGCTTTTAGTGTAGACTTAGAAATAGAACATTCCACTCTAAATTTAGACGCTGACGAAATAGGTTTTCGTAGGTGAAATCTATTTTTAAATACATCACGTAGATCAAAAGCAATTTCTTTGCTGCACCCGCTGAATCTCTGAAAAACACAAATAATCCAGTTCTGGGAAGCCATCAGCTGACCACCATTTTGGTTCTACTGTGCTGACCTATCCATGATGCTAAGACGGTTAACCCAAGCCAAACCAAACCAGACAAACCAGAACCACGGAGCACTCAAAACTAAGCAGAACCTGAGCCCTGAGAAACCAGAACCTGAGCCCAGACGGCCTCACCCTAAACCCAAGCCAAACCAAACACAGAGCTGAGCTGAAGCTGAAGCAAACAAAGCAGACTGACCTTACAGGCCACCAGGAAGAGGTCCACGTGGCAGGTGAAGTCCATGCTGAGCAGCAGAGCCACGAGGCCACGCACCACTGCCAGACAGCGGGCCCGCGCCAGGACCAGAGGCTGCTCACTGTCTCCCTCTCCATCCTCCTTCTCTCCCCTCTCCCCCTCTCTCTTTCTCCTCTCTCCTCCTCCTCCTCCTCCTCCTCCTTCTTCTTCTTCTTCTTCTTCTTCTTCTTCTTCTTCTTAATTATTAATTGATTAATGACTAATTAATTTATGTATGTGCGTGTGTGTGGGTGGGGGTGGAGAGAGAGAGAGAAACACGGTTATATAATATCAGATCAGATCTAATGATGAAAGAACAGTTCAAATCAGAAGAGATAAGAAACTGATCCAACAGCTACTAAGGAAACCACAGACCTGCGTTGTGTTGGGCTGGGGTAGTCACAAAACTCTCCACTACCGGCACTACAAACTGCCTTATGGAAGAGCCTCACCCTCAGACCACAGACACCGGCTGCACTCCGCTGGAAGTTGAGAGTAGAACTGTCCCAACTACCACCATTATAATCACATTCGGAGAGAGGTCAGACTTTTCGGGCCAACAAAACAAGCTACAGGTTTTTCGAATAAGCCAAAACTGTCACACCTACTACTAATACAGAGATTTACCCTCTCACCAAAGATACTGAATACACTTTGTTGAAGATCAAAGCAAAACTGTCTCAATTAGCACTACTAAAATCACCTTTGTAGAGAGCTGCGACTTGTTGGAGCCACAGAGCAGTCGGAACTTCTGCTTCGACTGTTGTATCCGTCGGTGGAAGCCCCTCAGTCGGTGAGTGCTCTCCTTGCCGCGCCCCCAGCCCTTGACCGCTGGTGACCACTGGCTCTCCATGAAACTCCATCGGTTGGTCAAGCCGCTGCATGCTAGACCCCAAAGTTTGTTTGTTTGAGAAAACAGAAAAACATGGGATACATTACAGGTCATCTAGTGCAGGGAAATAGAAATGTAGACACGTGAACAGTTTTAGAAATTGTGCTTTTGCCCCTCCGTGAAAGTAAGTCTGGCCGCTCACAACTGTATCAAACTATATCAGAAGGGGATTTGAGAAAACTTCTCTCAGCGTACACTGGGTAATATCTTACCAACACACATACCAAACAGATTTGAGGAAACTTTCCTAGGTGGGTGCTGAGTAACATATCAAACAGTGATTATTGGGGGGGGGTTTATAAGTGTTTTACGGCGCTCGCAACTACATAAGGTTACATGAGCGTGCGGGACACGGCAAACGTTTACAGTTGCTAGGAAATTTTGAATTTTGGCCGGGTGGCGGCCGAACCTACTCTTATCGATTTTAGACCACCAAGGGATCTTTAACGTGCATGACTTGCACACGGGACCTCCAAGATTTTTCGTCTTTGTCCGAGAGGGCTAGGTGTAGATCTTTCCTACAAGAAAATCAGGGGTGTGGCAGAAAGACAGCAGTAAGGAGGAGCCAAGGAGTTATAACAGTAAAAAGGCAGCAGAAAGAGTCAGGAGCCCAGAGGAGGGGACACAGGAGGTGAGGGGGTAGGGGCAGAAAGTGGAGATGAAAGCAGACGACAGAACATTGCTAGAGAACAGAAAAGGAGGTGAAAGGAGACAATTTTTTTTAGGAGAAAAACATTTTTCGGTCGCTACCTAGATTCGAACCGGGGACCTTTTATTGAGAGGCGAACATCTTAACCTCTAGGCCACGAGAGACCCCAAACAGAGATTAGAGGAAACTTTCCTTGTACTGGGTAATACTCTTACCAACACACATATCAAACAGGGATTTCAGGAAAACTTTCCTTTGTATACACAGGGTATTACTTTTACCAACACACAAATCAGAGACTGGAGGAAACGTTGATGGAGGTGACTGGGTATTACTTTTACCAACACACAAATCAGAGACTGGAGGAAACGTTGATGGAGGTGACAGGGTATTACTTTTACCAACACACAAATCAGAGACTGGAGGAAACGTTGATGGGGGTGACTGGGTATTACTTTTACCAACACACAAATCAGAGACTGGAGGAAACGTTGATGGAGGTGCACTGGGAATTACCTTCTTTGTCTTTCTTGGTCCCCTTGTCTGCGTCGTCCGGCGCGCTGTTGGTCCCGTTGGGCATGTCCATGTTGCGACACAGAAACAGCAGGACCCAGCTCAGCAGGGACAGGTCCAGGTATGCTACACACAAACACACAACCAACAATTACGTTTATGTTTTAGTCACAGTTTTACAGCACCTGCAACATATATAGGTCATAGAAGAGCCCTAGATTTGAGGTGTTTCTGGTGAGTTTAGTTTGAGTTTGAGTTTTACGGCACTTGCAAAACAAAAAGGTCATAGAAGTGCTGAAGATTAGATGTGTTACTAGAGAGGGACATACAAAGAAAAGAAGGAGAAGAGCTAAGGATGATAGAAGTCTGAAAGGAAAGAAGGGGCAAACCTCACCAGAGAACCCAAAAACCACCAGCTTATCAGTTTGTCGTAAGTTCATTGTTACAACTATAAGTTCATTGTTACAACTAGAAGTTCATTGTCACAACTATAAGTTCATTGTTACAACTAGAAGAACTATAAGTTCATTGTTCCAACTATAAGTTCATTGTTCCAACTATAAGTTCATTGTTCCAACTATAAGTTCATTGTTCCAACTATAAGTTCATTGTTACAACTAGAAGTTCATTGTTACAACAAGAAGTTCATTGTTACAACTATGAGTTCATTGTTACAACTATGAGTTCATTGTTACAACTATAAGTTCATTGTTACAACCCATTCCCAGCTTCAACATTGTACACGTATTTTCCTTTTAGTTTTAGTAAAAGTTTTACGGCACTTGCAACACAATAATGGTCATATAAGCGCCGAAGATTAAAGGTATTACAAGTGAGTAACAAACACAAAAAGGAGGAGGGGAGATAAGGACGATAGTTGTTGAAAGAAGAAGCAAACCACACCAGAGCACCCGCCAACCACCCACACTTATTTTCCTCCAAGGCTACTGATAAACTGAGAGATACAACTGAAGGAGACACAAACAACAAACACAAGACAAAACTCTTAGGGCCGTCTCTGCAGAACTGTGACTATCAAGTGACTTTACGCCCCTATCAACACAGTTTAAACTACTCAGGAGGAGGCCGGCTGTTTCAGATCTGTTGTTAAGTGTTGAAAATTGGAGGTGTTACTTGAGAGTAAAGAACTTTTAGTTTTAGTAAGAGTTTTGTTTTTTTAGTAGAGGTTTTACAGCACTCGAAACTGCATAAAGTCATATGAGCGCCAGAAGATTTGAGGTGTTACAAGAGAGGAACGAACATTTAAAAAAAAAGGAGGGGAGACAAGGACGATACATTTTTAATAGGAAAGAAGAAGCAAACCACACCAGAGCACCCGCCAACCACCCACAGTAAGAGTTATACAGCACTTGAAACACAATAAGGTCATATAAGTGCCGAAGAATAGATTATGTGTTACAAGAGAGTAACATACACAAAATTAAAGGAGGGGACATAAGGACAACAGATGTTTGATAGGAATGAAGAAGAAGCAAACCACACCAGACCACCTGCTCATCCCACCTGTGCTCATTCCACCCTCCAACCACCCACTCACCCCACCAGTGTTCACCCCACCCTCTAACCACCCGCTCACCCCACCCTCCAGCCACCCACTCATCCCACCTGTGCTCATCCCACCATCCATCAGAGGCTGTAGGACAGAGCTCAACATGGCCAGTAGACTATCCAGGATGCTGAGAGCACTCGGACCAGCCAGTGACTTTTGACCCAATGCACTCAAAAGGATGAACACTCTGTGGACAGAACAGAACAGACAATGAATCACAATTTAATGGTCAGGGAACAGAACAGAAAACAAATCACAATTTAATGTTTGGCAATATGACAAATCGGGTTTGCGTTTGTTTGAGTAAAGAGAAGCACATCCATACAACAGTCGGAAGGAACCACCAGAGGCACCTTCAAATAAGAACACTTGATAGCTCTTTACTCATACAAACGCAAACCCAATTTGTCATATTGCTAAACATTATATTTGTTCTGTTCCTATGTCTGGATGAAAATAGTCTGTGTGTGTGTGTGTGTGTGTGTGTGTGTGTGTGTGTGTGTGTGTGTGTGTGTGTGTGTGTGTGTGTGTGTGTGTGTGTGTGTGTGTGTGTGTGTGTGTGTGTGTGTGTGTGTGTGTGTGTGTGTGTGTGTGTGTGTGCATTAATGTATATTGCTTGAGAAGAAAGGAAGTAGTAAGAAAGGTTTTTGAAAAATGGGTATTCCAATGTAAAGCGCATTGAGCTACTTTTTTGGAAATGTGCTATATAAATGTTATATATTATTATTATTATTATCATTAAATCCCGTCACACAGAATGAACAACCCGCGCACAGAATGAACAACCCGTCACACAGAATGAACAACCCGTCACACAGAATGAACAACCCGTCACACAGAATGAACAACCCGTCACACAGAATGAACAACCCGTCACACAGAATGAACAACCCGTCACACAGAATGAACAACCCGCGCACAGAATGAACAACCCGTCACACAGAATGAACAACCCGCGCACAGAATGAACAACCCGCGCACAGAATGAACAACCCGCGCACAGAATGAACAACCCGTCACACAGAATGAACAACCCGTCACACAGAATGAACAACCCGCGCACAGAATGAACAACCCGTCACACAGAATGAACAACCCGCACAGAATGAACAACCCGCGCACAGAATGAACAACCCGTCACACAGAATGAACAACCCGCACACAGAATGAACAACCCGTCACACAGAATGAACAACCCGCACAGAATGAACAACCCGCGCACAGAATGAACAACCCGTCACACAGAATGAACAACCCGTCACACAGAATGAACAACCCGTCGCACAGAATGAACAACCCGTCACACTTCCACAATATAACACCAAGGCCACCAAAACTAAAGATTCTACACCTGGGGGAAAACTACAGCAGTCCAGCAGTTCTTAGTTTTTGTAAGAGTTTTACTGCACTTGCAACACAATAAGGTCATATAAGTGCTGAAGATTAGAGGTGTTACAAGAGAGTCAGAAACAGTTTTGAGAACATCCAGGTTCTGCCAGATATCTCGAAACAGCTGAGCATGACAAGAAATGCCTTGGATGGTTGCTACACTAGCGTTTATTGCATTAATCTTATCTGTACGTCGTGTTTTACTATCGTATCCATACGATGTGGGGAACTCTGTGCCACCACTCTCCAAAAAGGAAATTTACTCGTTAATCCAATTCATACGCTTTGCATAG